ATTATCTAATACTGAACAGCAAGTGAAACTGGGATCGCCGACGACCTGTCGAGAGGGTCGGTAAAATTTCCTGACGAAGTTAGTGCAGACTCCGTGGACTCGATGATGATGACACTAATTCCAGCAGCAGTAAGCCAATCTTAGCTAGCGTTATGACAACAGGAAGATCCCATTTTGGCTCCTTTGGACCTGGCATCGCAACAAGAGCCATGGAAAAGCGAGGCTAAGCAAAACAGTTTCCGTCTGCATGAATGGGTATTGTACCGGAGAAACACCGGAACCGGTAGTTGGTGATTATTAGCAGTTCTACAGTGCTGCACCAGAAAATGATATCAGCCTATGATGATGACCCTCTGATCAGACATGGCAGAGGAGACAAAACTGAAGCTCGGGTCAGGCAGCGATCCTGGAGAACGAACCTGCCGCGATATATACGGGACTACGTGCGGAGTTGTGCATATTCCAGGTAAGGAAAGTGCTAAGAGAAAGGAAGATTAAACAGCTGCAGCCAATAATCCCGCCAGATGGGCATATTTTCCTATGGGGAATGAATCATCTGGGATCATTTCCTTCGACAGCAGCAGGCAATCGACATCTCGAAGCGGTTATCGACAACCTAACAGAGCTCATAGTTACACAGGCTGTACCTGATACCGGAACAGTCAATCGCATAAACTTTATTGTAGAAGAGACTGTACTGAAATACGGCGTGCCAAAAAAATTATTAATGATCAGGGACCAGGATTTTCAGCAGAATCCGTGAAAGAAACGCTAGACCTACTTGGTATAGAGCATTCATTTGCTTCCACCGCTCACCATGAAATTAACGATTAACGATGAAACGCCAACCGGATCATAGCAAATATGCTGACGGCGTACGTCAGCGTATCGTTTATCAGGTTTGCCATGAATAATGGCAAAGGTCTACGATACGAAAAACGGCATTCGGGTAAAGTTCAGCCAGATGGCACGGCTGTCAGCGTATGCATTGTTTCCCTGGCCAATAGGCGAAGTAACGGGTCCTGACACTGTGTTAAAAAACCTGTTGAACACCCGAATGGAAGTGAAGCTGCATACTGAAAATGCTCAACGACGTCAAAAAGCGGTTTAAGATGGCCATCACCAACCAAACATCATAATCAAATCAAGTACTCTTGTACTGGTACGTCGTACCATCAGAAACAAAGGCCTTGCGGCAAAACGTGCTCAGAAATACATTCATCCTTTTCAGGGGCTGAGATAGCTGGGACCAGCTACACAATGCCGACGATATTCCAGCTCACCAAATCGAGCGAAAATAGCGCATTTTTCAGCGCATATTATTAAACTGAAACATTCCGTTACCTCACAAGTTAACTGAAAACTGAATATAGCAAATATCCTGAAGAACGAGAATGAAAGGTCGACCATGGTCCTTCATGTGCCGAAGGCAATGAATGACTACATGGCCGAAACAACACGTTGTGCTAAAGACGACGGGGAGGCAACCGGACGCCCCTCCCACACGCCACCAGAAACGTGGATTGAACGAACGGGCAAACTCGTCCTCCGCATGCGGAAAGCCAGGGACGCACCTTGCACCGGAAGTGCAGCCAGCAGGTCAACGTCGATTGGTTTTCGCGGGTGAAC